TTTTGAGTATTTTTAATCTCTCAAACATTTTTAGTTTTACGAAATGAGTATGAGACATTTTGTGAGTTATGATGTTTATGTTAACAGAGAAATTTTGGGGCGCGCCTTTTCAATAAGGTCAGAACCCCCTTCTAGTGAATAATCAGTTGATAGGCAACGGAACTGTAGAGAATAATAGTCCATGATATCCCTCCCCTATTTAGCGACGCAGGAAAATTTTGAGGATTTTGGTTGTCAAGCGGACAGATTTCTTCACTATATTTTGGAAAAAATATTTCAATACACTTCAAAGCCCTACTCTCATATCATGTTTATTATGAACAGATATACATATTTCTATTTTATAAATTTTTACCTAGTTCAAAGCAGCGATTAAAAACATTCTTGTGAAATTGGCTGATCAAAGATCCCTTTATAAGAAATTTGTTTATAGCACCTCCCTCAATTTGTGTATAATCAAAACGATTTTCGATCCTTTTCACATTAAATGAAAGCATTGTCGCCCAACGAAGATTGTCTTCGACTTGTTTAATCTCAATATTTTTGGTTAATCTTGGGTCGTTAATTGCTATTACACTATAAATTGGATGACTAGAAATTGTTTATTGTGATTATTTAAAAAGTGTGAAAAAGAGGCTTAAAAACCACTTTTATTTAATTGTTTCACAGGCTACAGATATGTAGCAATTTAAACGATAAGTCCTCGTTGACCTGTGAGGGTGACTCCAGCTAGAGTCCACCAGTTACTGTACCCCTTGTAATATTTTTCAATTCTTTCCCCACCCTATATAAAATCTATATTCAGTCCCAATTCATTACAGGTTCAGTCCTAAGTCAGTTTAGTCCCACTTGTATATAAAAGGAATGATACTGGGCAAGGAGGGCCTTCAGTTTCAGTACCACTTTTCAGCTCTCATTGTGTACTCACAGTATTTTAAGATCTATGGTACGATTATTATAGAAAAATTTAGCTCGTTTAATACCTGCATCCTGCTAGATAAAGCAAATAATGCAAAGCAAAAGGCTCATCTAGCGACATTTTTTCATTTATTAGAGTATTATTTATCCCTCGCGTCTCAGTAAACCATGCAGGATTACATGAATCTTCCCATAATATTGGATTCCGAGCTCTCATAGTTTGAAGATGATCGAACCCGATTATTTTACTCCACTCGTCATTCAATTGAAGCTCGCTGTTGTACTGTACAAATAATTTAAAATAATACTAGAGCATAATAAAACTTATGGATTCTACAGCACGGATTTAAATTTGAACTTGAATTTATAAGTGAAAAATGTATTCTTGGACTTATTTTGTGGTCCAATTCATTCTTTTTCATGGCGTATTAGTGTGATGATATTATTGGACTTTATTCTTCTAATGGCTCCCGGACAATGCGTCAGTAGACATTGCGTCAGTGAACAATCGTTAGAGAAATGGTGGAAGTATATAAAGGGTATAGGAGTAAGTAACAAGGAATTTTTGGTGATTAAAAGAGATAGGGAGAATTATTGGGATTAAGAGGGATATCAAGGGATTAGGGAGGATTAAGATTGTTATCGAAGAGTTATCCTAACCAAAACCTACATATGAGAAATTTCGATTCCACTTGTCTGATCCAAAATAGAAGCGATGATTCAAAAAGGCTTTAAAATCCGCTTCTTCAAAGTATTTTTCGAAATTAAATTCCTTTGGATTTAATACTTCCATTAATTGGCGAATGAGACGTAGCTCCTTAAATTTTCAAAAATTAAAAAAGAAACGGGGCTGATTTTAAAGTGAAGTTTTTTGACCTGGAAGATATTTAAATAGCTATCTACTTTACATCATGGAGAGCCGAGATAGCAGAGACCCGGAAAGCCGACCCGTATTTTTTCTCAACCCAATAGTAGGAAAATTAACACAATCCGATCTAGTTAATTCTTTCTCAAAACCACTACCACCCTTGCCTTAATTAATATGCAAAAACGAAAAATACTAAAAGTAAAGCAGATGGGCTATAGCTATTTCTCTCCTTCAGCTAGTGCAAAAAGTTTAATCGGCGGCGGCTGGGAGCGAACCAGCATCTTCATTAGACAGGACTTATGTGTTGGCCATTACACCACGCCGCCTATTGCATAGCCTTAGGAATTAAATAGCTGTGCCCAAAAGGGTCTTTAAATCCCAATTTATTTTATTAATCTAATTTTAATATTTATTTATCTCTCCCCGCTCCAAAACACATTTTCACAATTTACTTTTTTCCCGAGGCACTTCAATTATAATATTATTAATTAAATAAATATTTTTTAATTGTGTTCTGTGTTTTGTTTGTGTTTTCCTAAGGAGCTTGTTTTCTAGAGATTCAATATCTCCTTTGACCTTAAAACCTAAGGAGCTGATTCGTTCTGATCGAATCCCTCCTGTCCCTCCTCAATTGAGTTTTCAAGGTATTGTGCACCTACCCTTTCAGCACAATATCTATATGCTTTACATAAGCTTGTACTAGTCATTTAAATGACACAAGGAAAATAAAAGCATTAAAATTCATTAGAAACCTCGAATTTTTGTGTAGAAGCTAGCAACAAGATTAGAAATCTAACACTATCTTTTATCCGTACTTCCCCAAAATTTGGATCCGACAACATCACCGTCAATTCATTTGCAATAAATAAAGGCTTTGTAAGCATGAATGTATACAGAAATTCACGTGCGCGGTTCTCTTTGTAGAAATCAACTTAAATTGAGAAAATTTGTAATAAATAGATGTCTTTAGATCCGATTCGAATAATAAACCAGCATTTATTGTTTCGAAATTTCGAATTTTACAATTTTCGGTTTCGAAATTTCAATTTTCGAGTGTTTTTTCTTCGGCCTCAGGCTTCTACTTAACCTCAGGCTTCTACTTAACCTCAGGCTTCTACTTAATTTACAAGACAGGAGAGAATCGAAAACACCTGTTGTATTGTATGCATCAAATTCGACTTTGATTGTTGCTTCATATATTTTAGTGACGCATTTTATATAATCACTGGCATATGTCAGTATCTCCATATTTACATTGTAATTGAATATATTGGGAATAAATGATTGCTCAGCAACTATCTTCAAAATTGAAAATTAAATTTTGTTATACATTGGATTTGAACACAGACTTTAATTTCTAATTAATTGGCAATCCTAAAGGAGGTCCAGTCTATGAAACGCATAATAATGGCTGAGAAAGAAAATCGGTTTTCCAATAGATTAACGATAGAGCCCAGAATTGGGTTAACGATATGATTCAGAATGATAGAGCTATGTTGTGGATTTATGTAATGTTCAGCTAATAAGTAGTAATCAAGGAGGGTCAGCCAATCGAAATCCTGACTTATTGACCAAAACCTGATCCAAAGGAAATTCTGAAGCAAGACAAGAAATACGAGCCAACCTTACTCTCAATCCGAACTTTTCACTGATAAATAGGAATCGGATCTACCACTTGCATAGTCCAACGAAAATTAATTGAACGGTACTTTATGGATATATCACCCCTCTATTGTGAGTCTCAGTTTTCCTAATATGTAATAATAGTCAGACTTTCTCCATTCCACAATCCCATTTCACTGAGGCGTATTCAAATAAGAGGCATTAGTAACAAAATATGTAAGGAAGGAAGTCAGACGAATTAAGAATAACTCTGAGACTCAAAATAGGGTAGAGGGTGATATATCCATTAGAGGTCGGCGCGAGACGGGATCCCGACGGGATTTTCCGGGATTTCGATGGAAATCCCGGATTTTTTTGATTTTCGGGATCCGGTATATAGTGGATTTTATCAGACCTGCTCACGGATACGGATAATATCCGGATACCCGCGGATATCCGCGGATACGGATGGATATGGATAGTGTTTTTTAAAAAATTGGACGGATACGGATGGATACGGATATGATGCTTCAAATCCGCGGATATCCATCCCAAAATTCTAGCATGCGTCACAAAGAAAGTGAATTTTTTTCGCTTTCGGCCTTTCAAAATTTTAAAAATTTTCGCCTGCGGCGCTAAAATAATGAAGAAACCTGGCTGTTAAATAATTGAAATTCTCAAATTTTCGCCTGCGGCGCTAGAATGAAGAACTCTGGTTTCTTCGCCTTACAGCTTAAAAATTTTCATCTACGACGCTCCAATGTGTGCCTACCCACTTAAGGTACGAAGTACAAGTCAGGCCAAATTCAGTGGTGAGTACGAGAAAAATTAGCTCGTACTCTTTTAGCTGGGCAAACGAAAATTTTCAGAGGGGTATGGGAAATTCCCCCACCCACCCCTAATTGGGAAAAAGGAAAAAATTAGGTGAGGGGATTGGGCAAAAAAGTGAATTTTTTGGCCTAGGCCCTTCTAAAATTCTCAAAATTTTCGCCTGCGGCGCTGAAAATGAAAGATTTTTTCTTCTTTGTCTTCCAAATTCTCAATTTAAATAAATTTGACCATTTTGAAAATTCTAGCAAGGCTGACCATTTTGAGAAAAAACGGATATATCCGCGGATATCCGCGGATGGATATGACTAAAAAGTTGGACGGATACAAACGGATACGGATATTGACCTCACGGATATATCCGGATACGGATAGCAAAATCCGTGTCCATGAGCAGGTCTGGATTTTATTAAGGGACCTAGTGATTAATCCACCGATATCCCTATAAATCTATTAGATTTTTACAAATTTAATATTATTTACATATAAATTGCTGTATTTTGATGCACTTTATTTTTAAAAATTTTAAATTTTTTATTTTTAAAAAAATCCCGAATCCTGATCGGGATCCCGGATAATTATTTTCGGGATTTTTGAAATTCGGGATTTTTTCGAAATTTATCCCTCGGGATCCCGTCCCGGCCTCGGTTAAAAAATAAAATCCCGACTCGGGATCCCGGAAATGCGATTTTGCCGACCTCTAATATCCATAAAGTACCATTGAACGTTTGTGATTAAATATTAATTTTCAAATCAACAGTTAAAATTTTATTTTAAAGATTATTTATTTTAATAATAATAATCTTACATATCCTTTATCAATACAATAGTCAAGAATCCCTCCAAATCGAAAATGGTCTTCGTAGAGTGAAAGGCCATTGAACAGGTGTAAAAGAGCATCGTCGTTTTTGTATTTATGAATATCTTCTAAACTTGCTTCCAAAAATTGCTTGACTTGGGTTCGCATTGCTTTGTTGAAGTTTGGGGTTCCTTCGCATGACGAGATTTTGAAAAATACAAGGAAAAAGATAATTAAGGGGAAGGCGTATGGTAGAAGGTTTGGAAAGGAATGAGAGAATTTTTTTCTCATTTCTGAAAATTTTTGATTTTTTAACTCTATTTGGTTAACTTTTTTGTCTAACTTATCTCTTTGGCATGATTTAAAAAAGTTTTACAGCAGAAATTAGCGTCTAGGAGGATAGGGCGTATAAGAATCTATGTGAATTGATTTTATAAGGGGCATTCTCCAACAGAAAAACTTGTGAAAAAATTTTTTGGCACGTAAAACTATCAAGGATTTCTCTATTATGTAATTTAATTTTTTAAAAATTTAGTTTAAAAATTAAAGCAAGATGGCAATTAAAGAGAATTGAATGTAAGTAATTTATTTTTAATTTTAAAGGGAGGGACGCTTATTTATGAGTCTGAACTTAAGGAGGGTAATCGTTTAATTAAAGAGTGAGTTAATTAGAGAGAGAAAGAATCAATCACCTTTACGTGGATTCTGTTATTTACATCCCTATCCATCCATCCATCTCCTCCATCCCATCCTGCCCTCCTGTCCCTCTTACTCCCTACACCCCCCCCCCATCTCACGACAAAATCCAGCCAACTCCTCTCTCCCATCTGCCCTCCTGTCCTTTTTATCCCCCCCTCCATCACACGACAAAATCCAGCCACCTCTTCCTCGCCCTCCTGTCTCTCTTACCCCCCCCCCCCTCCCCCGACAAAATCCAGCCAACTCCTTCCTCGCCCTCCTGTCTCTCTTACCCCCCCCCCTCCCCCCCATCTCCCGACAAAATCCAGCCACCTCTTCCTCGCCCTCCTGTCCCTCTTACTCCCCCCCCCCATCTCCCGACAAAATCCAGCCACCTCCTTCCTCGCCTTCCTGTCTTCTTACTTCCACCCCCCCCCCCCCCCCACCATCTCCCGACAAAATCCAGCCAACTCCTTCCTCGCCCTCCTGTCCCATTTACTCCCCTCCCCATCACTCCGACATCGCAAGTTGCGTAATCGGGAAATTGATTGGCAATACTCTTAAAAATATATAGAGGGCTTGTGGCTCCGCGCCTTTATTTTTCAATGTGTCTCATTGCGTCGAACTATACTAGGGCATGGGCTTCTATTTGGAATGGACTTTATTAGGATTTTACGGTATTACTTAAAGAGAGATGAGAGCGAGGACCGATCGAGTGTCTCTGGTAGGATGCCCAAACCAAACGTATAGATTGAATGGCAATAAATTTCAACTATTTAAAAAGTTCTCAATAAATACACGTTGAATATTTGTTTTTATTATTTTGGCAGTTTTAAATTTTATTTTCCACTTTTTAAATGAAGGTCGAAATATAATTTTGGTAAAACTGAAGCATACAGACCACATTTTTTCCTCCCCAATTTTCCCCCTATATTTTTACAAAATGGTCAGACTTTTTCCTTTCTTCCATGCAATTTGCCTTTCTAATTTTTGCCTACAATCAAAAAAAATCATTTTTGGATGGAAGAAAGGAAAAAGTTTGACCATTTTGTAAAAATATAGGGGAAAATTGGGGAGGAATAAATGGGGTCTGTATGCTTCAGTATTACCATAATTTTTACTCAAAGATTGTTTCTGACTACGGTTAAATTTCGGTTTACAATAACGGTTCGGAACAATTGTCTGTGGGCAACAAAAAATTTCATATTTCTGTTTCTCAATTTACTGATAAACTAATCTAATCTTAAGCAATTCTCCATAACAAATTTATTAAAAAATTTTTTTTCTGATTCGAAGATCTTAGAGTATAATATCAAAAACTTTCAAAGAATCCTGTTTAAGGGCCTTATCTTCCTTAAGTTCCAATCAATTTAATTTTAAATAAAAAACCGCAATGGAAAAAATTAGAAATTTAGTTGAAGCCTGTACAAATAAATTTTCTATAAATTTTTTTTTAAATTTTTTTTTTTTAAATTTTTTTTAATTTTTATATTCGAATTGAATTAAATAAATTTTAAAATTAAAAAAATTAAAATATAATCGATATAATAAAAATTATTTAATAATTAAATTATCTTTTATTAATAAAAGGGTCCGGGTTTTTAGGGGTTTTTAAAGAGGAGCTACATATCATTGACTATCACTGACAAACCTCTTTCATATTTTAACTCACCATAATCTAACAGTCACCCAAATTTATCAAGTAATCCGAGTAAAATGTCAGAAAACTTATTAATATTTGAGGGAAGAATGGGATGAGTTTCCCTCAAATTTTTCCGAATACTTCATAAATCTCGTATCTCTGATAAATGCGATATGAGTAGGTATGGGATTCAGGATCGGGCGCATTGCGTTTTGATTAATTTGCGTTAAGCTTTGGACTTGCGTTGAATTTTGCGTTTATTTTTGAACTTGCGCCTGCCACTGATGGGCTCGGTAAGTGTCTCGGTGGGAGCAACGCTAAACTAAGTTGCTTTGGGAGCACATCATCATTCATAACAAATTAAGCTTGAAAGATATAGAAATCCATATAGATCCCATCTTTATTTATAAGTTAATCTGAGAAAGACGGTGGTCAGTGATAGCCGGATTTTTAAAAACGTTTAACGATCTGGTCCTTAACCAAATCCTTCAAACTTTTTAAAGATGAAACCTGTCCCGTTATATTTTACATTAATTTTTTCTGTCCCCATCGTCCTATTCTTCTTGAAATTTAATATAATAACTGCCCAAAAATCTACATGTGTACCCTTTGAATGTAATGATACTTGGGATCTATTTCAAGATAATGATGGGAAGGTGTATGCCTACAAGGCATTTGTTCAGGAATCAATTAATTTCTTTGAGGTATGAAATTTTTGAAATTAGTATATCGCAGGAACATCTTGAGGATAACTCCCTATTATACTAGAGAATGTACTAAAGATCGGGATTTGTCTAGAGAACCGACTATAGAGACCTGACTACTATAGGGCTAGAGAACTGACCTAAGATCGGGATTTGATAAGAGAACCGACTATAGAGACATGACTACTAGAGACCGATTATAACTAGCATAAAGTGTGAGAAGAACATGTCCTGTTACCATCCATAGAAGAGAAAGAAAGTCAGTGATCTGACAGAACTTAATGGTTGATAGTCTTCCGACAGGGTCTAGGTTCTATCCCTTTTAATTGAAGGATAAAGCATCAAGTTTCAATTTCAATATTGCTTCAATTACAGGCAAATGCCTTATGCCGTGAACAATGTGCGGAGGTAGTTAGCATCCATAGTAAAGAGGAGAATGAATTTGTTCGAGCAATTGCTCAACCTCTTTTGGATGATTGCCAAGTTTGATTTTTGAAATCTCATACATATCCCTTATATTAATCCTTTCATTTTAAATACAGAATGAGATTATTTGTAAACCAAGACCTGGTGAGACAATTCCTGATTTCAATCGAATATTACACTCTTTCTTCATCGGCATGCACCGCATACAGTTTGGACGTCTTGGCCAATGTACAAGAGATCCAAATGTTTACTGTATTTGGTCTGATGGAACTCCTTGTAACTTTGGCAACTATACGGGTGTAATTGGTCCACATGAGACTGTGCCACCTTGGGCTACTGGAAATCCTAATGGAATTGAACGTATGAAATATTTAAAATTGGGTAAAGTATCATAGAATATGACTTACTGAGGGTGCAAAAAGCATATAACAGTAGGGAGTATAGGATAATTGCTACGGAAAAGCAAGATGGAGATGATATCAGGAGGAGGATGTTCCTTTCGGACTAGTATGTAGTCTCGAGTAAAAATGCCTTTTTCGTACCAGTAAACAGACTGAGGAGATAAAATGAGTCGAACGCATTAGAAAGAACAGGGCGATAGAGTAGGACAAGGTCTGACAAGAAAGTAGGGTGTAGAAAGTAGGATGTAGAAGATGTTCTATCCACAAGAAAGTAGGGTGGAGAGAACATGTTCTCTTCGGACTAGGAAGTAGTTAGGGTGGAAAAAAAATTTGCGTTCAAACTGCTTTTAATTCTCTATCATTTAGGATTGATTTATCTCATTATCTACAATAGTCGAAACTTTGAAAGACAGTTCCTTTCATGCAAGAATATACCTAGTTGTGAGAGAATTCGTCCCGCCTAACTCATATCATTGAAATTACTTGGAACCTTAGTTTAATTTTAAAATTTCAGAATATGGAAACGAAGACTGTGTCGAACTTTATGACAGCGTTAATGGTTATTGGAATGACATTGGCTGTCAGATGCGCCTTAGTGGGGTTATATGCAAGCGTCTATGTAACTCATATTGTGCTGAGATTGATACTCAATTGAAATAATGAATTTAAAGAATTAATGGAAAGATTCCTATAAATTTTAAAGTATAAAAAAAATAAAAATTAAAAAATTGATATTTAACAAATCATTTAAATCTTGATAATAAACTATGTATCTTTATGGAAAATTCTAATAATTTTGTCGTTATAAATTGTATGTCAGAGGTTTTGTCTGAGTTTTGTCTGTGATGTCGGCTAGCTTAAGTATCACAGTTTATCCAAGAAGTAGTTTGCAATGGGGGCGAAGGGATTGGCCTGGAACAGTCGAAGGAGATCAGAAGCTGGGCATGTATGACAAGCTAGACTGATCACGAAACTGGCGCTCTTAAACTAAGTGAAACCACTACAAAACATAAATATTTCTCTTATATTTTTGAATTAATCAAGCAGATTATTGCTATTGATCTTATAAAATTCCAAACTTCGTTAAATTTTGACTCTAATTAAATTAATATCTTTTTAAAATATAAATTTATATGTGTTTTTCTTAATTATTTTTGAATATTATCATTTTTATGATGTTTGTATTTACTATTTGTGCCACACTACGACATTGTTGTCGAAATAAGTGGCACGCCCTTTTGACATTTTTTTATGTTGATAAATAAATAAATAAATAAATAATACAATAAAGTTGAAGCAATAGAATAAAATGTAGGTTTCTGGAGCGCAGAACTTATTGACTGGGCCCATGGATAGAAATGACCCATGGATAAAGCCTCAACCTTTTATAATAAGCCATATCTACCATAAACTATTTGAAGAGGGTAGTTATTCGAGCAAATACGATAAAAGTTAATTTCTTTTCTCTCTCACATAAAGTATCTCGAAATTCAAAACTTCAAAGATTGGTGATATCAGATCGACCATGCTCTACAAAATAGTTTAAAAAATTTTTAGATTTTTTAATTAAAGCACAGAAAATTATTTATAATTTTGTCTATTTTCATTGCTTTCTATCTCAAATCGACAAAAATGCCGTTCGCTAACAAATTCTATAATGCTAATGAGGAATACGGCACTCAAGTAGATACCGTATTTTCTCTAAAATAGCCCCGGGGGCTTTTTTTTCAATCGACCTCTAGAGGGGGGCTATTTTAGAGAGGGGGGCTATTTTGGAGAGGGGGGCTATTTTAGAGAAAATACGGTAATTGAATTATAGTGGAATCTTTTCTCATGACTAAAGGGTAGCCTGATGGGCTCCAATTCGTGCACTTTACTAATTGGACTTTTCAAATTATTACGGCCTCATATTAATTACCCCTCCAGCGATAGATAAAATAATTACCATCATCAAACGGTACACCTCAATTGAGTCCCGACTCAATTGAGTCCCGGACCCTATAACTTATGAAGGGATGGATACTTTTTGCTACTCTTGGTACCATTGGATAGGGCATTAAATAGGCTACAATATACCAAAAAATCAAAATTCGCGACCAACTGGTAAAAAAGTTATGATCGATAAAGTGCCGAAAAATCCGATTTTTTTGAAAAAGTTAGTTTTTATATCATAACTTTTTTATCAATAGGTCAAAAATTCTGATTTTTCGATATGTTGTAGAGCTTTTGATTCTCTATCCAATGATACCAAGAACATTAAAAATTATCAACCCGTACTTGAGTTATAGGGCCGGGACTCAATTGAGCCGGGACTCAGTTGAACTGCTCCGTCATCAAATGCCCTAATACAGTTCCAAATTTCATAAATGCCATCCCCCTCCCTTGAGTACGAGGGTTTGCCCCTCGAGTAATTAATCCCCCTAGCGTGGTTCGAAACAATAATTATCGAGGATAGCTATTCTAGAAGGTACGGCATACCCCATTACGAAATACATTCAGACTCGAATAAAATAATTGTTGAACCTGGAATAAGGAAATAATTTTTTCAAATAATCTAACTCTTCAAGGAAGTAAAATTTAATTAAAATTAAAAAAAAAGGATTAAAGAAGTTAATCTGATGATGAGTTGGAAAGATATGTCTGAGTATAATAAAAAATTTTATAGAAAAGACGTGGAACTTAAAATTTTTAAAATTATTTTCCAAATATGGCAAATTTAAAAATTAAAAAAATTTTTAAGAGAGAGAGAGAAGAAGGAGAGAAAGGGAGAGGGAAACTTGCCAAAAATCTCAACCGCAAGGTTTAAGCTGTAAAACACGTGGAATTTAATTTTAAAAATTAAAGCTGTCAGTAAAATTATTAAAATTGAAAGAGACGGGAGATTTAAAGCTGAATAAACAAATAATTTTATATTGTGTGAATCTAACCAAAGAGTGGGGGGAATATGCTGGGATTTGAATCGAGTAAAGTTGCCTATACTTAAGCCGTTGGAATTTTGCCATATAGCAACCCAAGCTTCTCATTCTCTCTTCGATTTTAAATAATTTTGGGAAGGCTAGCTTTCTATTTAAATAACTTTAGCTATTTTGTTGAGGTGGTTAAGCCTCAGCCCTAGAAAAGAGAGGTTTTAGTTGGCTTGACAATTTAAGATACCACAAATTTAAGTTGCCTCTCACTCAGACCTTGACGCTGGTTGAAGGGAGCAGTCTAAATGATACTCTCAATTAAATTTACTCCTCTTAAATGTGCTTTAACGTTCCGTGGGGAAGGTGTCCTTAAAGTAAAATACCCCTTATTTCAAATACGATTTTTCAGCCCAATGGGGTATGTAAAACCGAGCTCCGACATTACGAAGGCTGTATTACTTAGCACAACATATCAGTTCATTTATGCTATCCCATCATTTTGATTTCTGATTTTGCCCATTAAATAATATATTCAAGTTAATAATAATAATTCTTAATTCTCAGAGATTCACTAGAAATTTCTTAACTAAAATGTTCCCAAACTGGGCTTTACTTCTTCCAATTTTCGGACTCTTCGCGTATTCATCCGCGCAATCTCGATGCAACTTTATATGTGAAGCTGATTGGCAAACACGAGTGGAACCAACTGATGGGAAAACTTATGGATACAAAGTGTTCTTCAAGAGTGGGCTCAACTTTTTTGAGGTGAATATACTAGAAAATACATAATATTAAATTTTTAATATATAATTAAATTAAAGGCCCAAAGAATATGCCGCGACAACTGTGCTGAAGTTGCTACTATTCATAGCCGAGATGAGTACGATTTTGTGTTCCTGACGTTTAGAGATCTGCTTAATCAGTGCCAAACTAATGCTTCTGTTTGCCCTGTTCGAGATCCAAATCCAGATTTCAACAGAATATTGAACTCATTCTGGTTGGGAATGCATCGAATACAGCAGTACACATCCATATGCACAGGTTGTGCAGTAGACAGTGAAATAGTTTACATAAATTCGGATGGAACACCGTACAATTTCGGCACATACAACGGTACTATAGGAGAACATGAAGATATTGGATTACCGTGGGTGACTGCTACACCGAATGGAGGAAACACAGGCAGACTAAGAAATAATAACATAAGTAAAAAATATTATTTTAGCTGATCGTGCTGTCATTGAGGACTGTACACAACTTCTTGATTCCGCAACTGGCAAATGGAACGATATTCCATGCCATTATCAACAAGCCGCAGTTGTATGCAAGCGTGATTGCGCGTCTTACTGTCAAGCTCAAGTTCCTCCATTAACAACTACAGAGGCAACGACTACAATTCAATCCCCAGGAGGTGGTCCAGGTGGACCAGGAATACCAGGACAACCAGGCCCGAACGGACCAAACGGTGCCGATGCAACTACATCAGCTCCAGGTGGTGGCGATAACCCACCAGGAGGTGTGCCAGGTGGACCAGGACAACCAGGCCCGAACGGACCAAACGGTGCCGATGCAACTACATCAGCTCCAGGTGGTGGCGATAACCCACCAGGAGGTGTGCCAGGTGGACCAGGACAACCAGGCCCGAACGGACCAAACGGTGCCGATGCAACTACATCAGCTCCAGGTGGTGGCGATAACCCACCAGGAGGTGTGCCAGGTGGACCAGGACAACCAGGCCCGAACGGACCAAACGGTGCCGATGCAACTACATCAGCTCCAGGTGGTGGCGATAACCCACCAGGAGGTGTGCCAGGTGGACCAGGACAACCAGGCCCGAACGGACAAAACGGTACCGATGCAACTACATCAGCTCCAGGTGGTGGCGATAACCCACCAGGAGGTGTGCCAGGTGGACCAGGACAACCAGGCCCGAACGGACCAAACGGTGCCGATGCAACTACATCAGCTCCAGGTGGTGGCGATAACCCACCAGGAGGTGTGCCAGGTGGACCAGGACAACCAGGCCCGAACGGACAAAACGGTACCGATGCAACTACATCAGCTCCAGGTGGTGGCGATAACCCACCAGGAGGTGTGCCAGGTGGACCAGGACAACCAGGCCCGAACGGACAAAACGGTACCGATGCAACTACATCAGCTCCAGGTGGTGGCGATAGCCCACCAGGGGGCAATGGACCGAACGGTACACCAGGACAGAATGGAACTAACGGCCAGCCTGGCCAGAATGGCACTAGCTTTACAAATTCACCTGGAGGGGGCGGAAATGGAGACTTGACAACAACTCCAGAACCTACAACAATTGAGCCTGTAACCATAACCTCAACAATGAGAGCTCCGCTACCACCTCCAGCACCAAGACGTAGAAGCTCTAGAAGCCCTGGGAACACACAAGGTACTACAACAACCAACCCTAATATTGTCTCATAAATGAATGCTGAAAAATTGATGGAAATGTTTGGGGAAAAAATAAATTTGTAAAAGAAAATAAATTGAAAAATTAAAGATAATCATTTTGATAAACTTTCTGGTGATTTAAACTTTCTTTTCTACAATGATAATAAAAATTTTGTAAAAATAAATTGCATTATTCAATATAGGTACTATACCTTACAAATCCATTATACAGTGGCGGAAATATACTTAAGACCGATTGAATTTTGGTCTTTAACCTTACTTTTCTCTCCAGCTTTATAGGAATATGAAATAGTTTTTTGGGTATTAAATAGCTCTGATTTCAACCTACCTTTTCTGTAAATTTCTTTAATGTATTACAATTACAACCCAAAAATTTTTAGCAAAAACTTGAAAGTGTGCGCGAAATTTACTTAAGACCGATTTAATAACTATTGAAATTTAAGCATAACTACTATGTTTAAAATATTTTACTATTCTAGATGAGTAAATAATTCAATATCACACCTGTTCAGCGTTTAAATTTGGTAGAATTGAGAAATCAAGGAATGTTATTTGGAAAAATTGCAAAAAATTTGAAGTTGACAAAGACTGCTTGTTTGAATACCTACAAAATTGGCTATTCAATAGCCAAGAGACTATTTCACAATTCTTTAAAGCTGGAGAGAAAAGAAAGGTTAAAACCAAAAATTCAATCGGTCTTAAGTAAATTTCCGCCACTGTATGTATAACTTCAAATCCCATTTTATTCTTTAATCCAACAAATAATCTTATCATTTCAATTAATAAATAGGTAATGTTTTTCTTCATCACATTCAAAATAAAATTTCAAAATCAAAAATTTTTCATAAAGTTCTTAATCTGAAGAAAATTTTACTCCTTGATTTTACCTAGCTTAAATAAAAGTGTATATTTGAGGTATAATAAATAAGGTTACAGAAAATTTCTATTAAATTTTCAAGGATTCTTTTAATTTTCTTAACAATAAATTCCAAAATAAATTCCAATCTTTAAAATTAATCTAAATAATATTTTCACTTTTTATTATATTATAATTGATCACTAATTATCAGCAAAGTATTTTCTATTATTTTTTTAAATCTTATTAATCATATTACCTTATTAAATATATAATGCTCAAGGCAATATCAATTTTTAAAATCATTTATATAAATTTTATTCATTCGTATGAAAATATATCATAGTTGACTTGATTTATTTCCATGTTTTTATAATATTCTGCCATATATAATACTATAAAAAATACTGCTCCTTGAAGTCTTCACACAAGACATGCTTGAACTGGTTTCTATGATAATGAGCAATATGGAAACATAAAATTTTTATACTAATTACCTGTTTATTAATTTATTTATTATTTAATATAGTTACTATCTATTCTGATTCTATTCTATAAGTTTACTCTACAATCAATCATTTATTATTTACTGATACTAAAGTATTTTTAATTTTTACTAAAAATTAATTCATTTTAATATTTAATCAATTTTAAATTTATTTAAATTAAACTATAAAAAATATTTCAATATATGTATAGGTTCATTGTCACATTAGCATAGCGCACTGTATATCCAATTTTTTGTTAATTCCTTATCAAATTTGTTTTATCATAGGAATTTAATATATTCAACATATACATATCTTATGCTATTTAGCCCTTGTATACTTTATTTTCGAACATTTCAGATATTTTATAATTATTGCAATTGTAGAATCATATCGATATAATATATGATTATATATTTTTATCAATTTTTAGTTGATTATTAATTAATTATTCGTATAAATATAAGGAAATATGGCAATTTCTATAAACAATGTCAAATAATCTTCCGAATCATGCGCAAATTTATTTTTAAATTTAAACTATCATCATTATTTTAAACTAGTAATTATTTAAATTTAATTTTAAGCTTGCTTTTAATCACAGCCTAAATTTAATCTTAGTTATAAATTTTTTAGTAATTAAGGTATAGTTAAGAAGGTCTATAAATTAAATTATTATATAAATTATAATCAATATCAATTTAAAATTTTCAATTTTTTTTAATTAGAGCACTTTATTTAAAATTAAAATTTTTTTATAAAATAAATTAAAAATTTTTAAAAACTGAGAATATAGTCAAAAATATTATAAATAAATTAAAAAATTATCTCCATATCTCCAAATTCTTCTCTTTATTTAAATGATTCATTTTACGGCCTTTGGGCTTGTTCTTTGTTTAGTTTTGCTGAAGAAGAAATAAAATACCAAAACCAAAGCTGCAATAATTTTCCAGTTGATGTAATCTTTTTTTCATTATCAGTCATGCATCTATTTTAATATATCAGTCATCATATTGTTATCATTTTATTTTAAATTTTTGAAATTTTTGTTGTCTTCTGAATTAATATTTATTTAGCCAACTTTATTTGTTATTTAATTTTCAAATTTACTTTATCATAGGAATTTTAAATTAATAAAATAGTTTTTTAAAAGAATTTAAGTTGTTTTTTTTCGTTATCCATTTATTTTATATCCATTAGTTTTTAAATTTTTGTAAACACAACTTTTTATTAAATTAATCCTAACGAATAGTATGTAAATGAATGGGGTTATTGGCCTCTTTTTTAGTTTTTTCGAACTTTTGATTTTATTATATATTTTTATTTTACTAACACTTTTCCCCACAACTTTTTATTAAATTAATCCTAACGAATAGTATGTAGATGAATGGGATTATTGAATAGATATTTATATTTTCTAGATACATATTATAATTAAAGTTTATAGTTATTTTCATCTCTAAAGCCATAATCCCTGAACAAATGTGTAGAATTCTTATCTTATAGGAAAAAATTAAAATTTTTTTAATGCGTAAACTCTGTTTCTAAAATTAGTATGTATTTTTTATACATAAACTTAACTTTATAATATTATCGTTTTACAATAAAAATGGAAACTTTCTTATGGAAAGAAGAAGAGTCGACGTTAAAATTAATAAAATAGATTCTACTTAATTACACACGTGACAGATATTTTATAATATTATAATTCGAATTTTTCTCTTCATTTAATTTTTATATAAGCTTCAAATAAATTTAAATTTTATACTATTACATGTTATATTCACTTTCCAACAATATCTCAAATTTTCTTTAATTGACTCTAACTTTGCTATTAAATTTGTGCCATGTATATTCTACTCAATTTAGTTATTTGTTGTGAATTTACAATTGAAAAATAATTTTTTATTAATATACATGGTCTTAAACGAGTCAGTTACACTAGTAACATTCATACTTCAACTTATCTATCTCTAATGCGAGCTTTTTTATCATTAAAATTTGAATCATTTCTTATTATATTTTGATCCAACTTTTTATTTCTTTTGAATTTTTGTTAATTATTTTGTAAAGTTTAGATAATTTCTGAATAAATTTAACTTGCACATTACATTTTTATGTGATGCTTATGTGTTACATTATTTCTAGGTGAGATTATACTTTAGAATTTGTACTGTAATTATTTGTTAAAGCTTATCTTTTATTTATTAATCTATTTTGTAACTCTTTAAAAATAAATTTCTTATCGTTCTATCAGCATTGTTATTTTAAAAAATACGTTTTTAATGAAATGCTCAATTAGGCCTATTTTATAGAATATCAGTAGGTGTTGTTTTCAATATTTTTAAGTATAAATTCTTTATTTAAAAACATCTACGATTAAACCTTAAATATAATTATCCTTTAATTATGTCCAGGCAATTTTCTTTCTGTGTCTCACAAAATTGAAATTATGTATTTTACAGGAGTTTTATTTTGTAGAAATCATAAGATTTTTAATAAGGTCCCAATCTAATATTTAATCACAAAGTTTACGTTTTTAGAAACAAAGTTCATCAATAATTTTCAATAAAAATAAATTTAATTCAAAGTTGCATTTATTTGAGTATTGTTTAACTTTAAAATATGCTTACGTATAATTTTGCGGTGGATCGATATAATCGAACTGAATCAAATCGTTTCTACATTTCAAAACTATATTCTTAATTGGATATTTTATATTTTTTTTATTTATTTTATAAATTATACATATTAATTTTATGTTGAATATATTGTTGAATATGTTGAATATATTAAATTATATTCAATATTTGTAGGTATTTAAACATAGATTTCATTATTGTGAATAATGATAATACTTAATTAGGAATATATGAATAATATCAATAACCTAATTATTTTTATAGAAATAATATTATATAATAGCTAGTTAACTGTTAACAAAGTCATAACAGTATTTTTTAACAATGTTTTAAAAATTTAAATTATATTATTATAATATGGAAATTTTAAAATTTCTTTCATTATCTTAAACTTTCTGCTTTACCGTACTTTCATAATATTCATGAGTATAAAAAATATTTAACTCTTTTTAGCATTAATTAATATAAAATTTATCCATATAGTTTAGTAAAATTATTATTTATAAATTTATCGTTAAATTTTTTAAAAATAAATATTCACTCGCATCATTATTATGTAATTGTAGTTTATTATAAATATAATTAAAAATATATATAATTAAAATATAATTAAATCTTTCACACTTTGTTATTGTTAATGCGTTCTGACTGAACAAGTCTGACTGACACACTTGTAGTATCATGAATAAATTCTTCTCTTAATATCTAATCTGTTTTTTGATGCATATTTAAATATCGACATAATAATTTTTAATTTAATAGTTTTCTTAAATTATGTGTATATACATATGATTCCTATTCGAATATAATAAACGACGTTTAGTGTTTTGATTTTTAACAACTTAATTTTTATCATGAAGAAAAATTTAATTAAAATTAAAAAAATCAACGAATTTTTATTATGTGGTTGTAGTTTATATTGTAGTTGTAGGTTATCACTAAATATAATTATAATAAAATATAATTAAATCTTTCACACTTTGTTATTGTTAACGCGTTCAATAACAAAGTTTGACAGACACATTTTCAGTATTAGGAATAAATTCTTCTTTTAATAACAAGTCTGTTTTTTGCTGAATATTAAAATAAAGACATAATA